TTTTCTAAATCAAATAATAGGGCACAAATGTAAAATAAAATTTAATAAATAGAATTTTATGCAATATTTTAAATAATAAGAACCATATTAAAATCTAATATTAAATTACCTTCTTCTAGTCTATGTTGCTAGATTAGTTAATGACATTATGACTCATACAAAATAAAAATGGATTCTTAAAGTCTTTGAATTTTTCATAATACCGGTGGAAATACATTTACCATACTTTCCCTAGTGATGATTTCATTGCTGATAACAAGGCAAATTAAAGTTTGAATAAAAGCATTTAGGGAAGGCAATTATAATTTTTGCATGTGGCATTTCTTCATGACTTCTGTTAAACCAGTATACTGAAATGACAATTTCCCAGAGATCTGACATAAGATAAACAATTAAAATATCTCACTCATTCTCAAACAATCAATTTTCTTGCTGGCTAAAGACAAACTAAACTAAAAGATGTGACTAGGTAAATGGTTACTTGTAGAAGTTCAGGACTTCCTGCTTTTTGTTTTAAATTTTTTGAAACAAAAACATTCTATTTTTAAAGTGTAGAATTTTATATAACTGTAAATACGCCAATTTGTGTGTCTTTAATTTGTTTTGAATTGTTTCCTTTCTTCATTCACTAATCTGCTGAAAGACATTTACTAACAGAAGAGTATTTGTCTATTTGATTATGCTTTCACAGCAGCTAGAAGAGGATTTTACATCTGGCTCTCTCTGTTACATATACATAAGAATGGATGCATGTATAATAAACTTAAATTCTTAAAACAAATTGATTCTGTAAAACAGATCATGGTGATTGTTTCCATTAAACATACAGTTGTTAAATGATGTAAATTTTGATAATGTAATTATCATTATAATTCAGTGTTAAACAAGTATTATGTACTATTTTTATTTGGCACATTGCTCAAGGAATGACTGGAAAAATGTTTCCATTACAACATGTTTGCAGTTGAAAAAGCAAAAAGCAATTCTGTATTGCCAGTTACTTGTCCATTCCTCATTAATGGGGTAATTTTTGCTTTGTCTGCCAGGTATAAGGCCACTACTACTGAAAAAGACTTTTAAATTGTCTCTTAACCTACAAGAAGAGCTTGTCCTATTATGATACTCCATCTTCTTTCCAAAAGTGTTCTATAGGGAAAAGAAGTAGAAAGGAATCCTCACACTCACTGTGGAACCATTTTCCAGTTACATAGAGATCCAGATTTCTCTTCCCAAATAGAATTTGTATACACATGGATAATTTTATTTACATGCAGAGAACAGTTTCTCATGATAATTTTGTAGACACTCTTATATATAGGGAACTTTGTTGGGCTTTTCTTAGATATTAACTTGTCTGTTTTTATTTTTATGAAAAAGTCTATGGATAATCAATCCTGCAAGTCAGAAGTGCTCATCTTCTTTTAAAAGTGCTTGTAATTATATCTATTAGTTATCATAGAAGAATATATAATGTGAAATAAATTAGGAGTATAGTGATACTCTCATTTTTATTAGTTCTCAAGATGCAAATGTATACATCCAATGTAGAAATGTGTCTCTAAAATATATCTCCTAATATATAATTTTATCTGCTGAAAGATATGAGTAGATAAATAGATCTATAGATAAGTTCTGCATGAGTATGGAAGGGTATGAATAATTAAGTTAAAGATTGTGTTTTAATGACAAGAGGATACTGGCTCATGTCACATTTTCCAATCCTGCATTAAATCTTAAGCCTTTTGAATTAGTTGGGCCAAGTCACGAAGGCAGCTTAAGGCGGCTTAACTGAGGCTTCAGTTTACTTAACATTAGAGCAGCAAGGAAAGGCTTTCTCTCTGTTGCAATATTAGAAATTGATTTAAAGAGGGTAATCTGATGGATATAATGCTTTCCTATATGGTTGTTTAAATTTCGAGCCCATTAAGAATACTTTCATAAATTATAATAAGTAATTTTATGTAATTTAGTGAAAAATGTTCTTTATCAGCATATAATAGTTGTACAGAGTGGATTCATTGTGATAGTCACAGGGGTGCTTACAATATGACTTAATCGTATTCACCCCTCCATCATTCTCCTTCATTCCTTCTCCCCTTCTTGTAACAATTTCAAAGGTTTCATTTTTCTATTTTCATACACATATACAAAATTTTAAAAATCAGTTAGAATTTGCACTGATCAGCAACAAGCAAAGTATAACTTCTGTTTAAGTCCAGAAATTAACCTATAATAATTAAAAGCCTTTTTCCAGTGATCAAGTTATATGAACAAGGACAAAGATAATGAAATTGGGCTTGGAGCTCTGATTCATTCTTTTAGTTACTGAGAACAAGCCAGCTTCTTAAGTAAATAAACAAAGTACATAGCAAAAGTTTTTCATTGGTAGAAGGGAGAAGTAATAGAAAATTAAGGTGAAAAAGTTTTGGGAGATTCTTTTAAATATTTTAAAATACATGTTATGTATTATATATGTACATATTTTTATTTGGAGAGCTAATAAAGGTAAGATAGTATAAATACGCTTGCACTTTATTTTGACTATATAAATCACAAAACCTGATTAAGGGTAAAAACCATTACTGATTTTGTCAATGTTCAAAACTAGTAAGGATACAAGGTAGATAAGAAAATACATCATGAAAAAAATGTTTAAGTGGTTAAAATTGTGTGCTCTTTGTGAACCATGATTTCTATGTCATTTTTAATTTATTGGAAGGTTCTTACTAGCTTCCATTCTTTGAACTGTGTGTTAATTTGGGGAATATACTTATACTTACATGACTTCATAAATAACTATTTTTCTCTTTATTATAAGTTGAAAAATGAACATTATTACTTTAGGCAATTAAGAACAGATGAAAATTTAAAAATTACTCCATCAAAAAGAATTGACTGTTCTGAGGGCATGTCTCTGTCTGCAGTCATGGATTCACTCCAAAGGCCTTCCAGGCATAGGAATTTCTTACATCTTGCTAATACCTCTCTGTACTTGATTGAACTAAAACCTTGTTGGCAGATAATCAACAAAGAGAAGTATGATAACATGTTTTCTGTTTTTGCTTTGTTGTTCTATTTAGAATTTAATTTTTTAAAAAAAATTATCCCTTGGATAATTTACTATTCACTATTATGCAGAATATTTTATACTAGGTAAATATAAAGCATTATTTATGAACATACATTACCTTAGATATTGTTACTTAAAAGAAGAAACTCGACCTTTGTCTATCTGAACATTGGACGTGAATGAGGAAATGTAGGTTTTTCCATCAGAAATTAATCCATAATTTTTGATTGGTTTCTCTTAATACAGTCCACCATTTAAAAGAAAAACCTAGTGAATATTATTTCACATAGACTCGTACTTAGTTTTAATACTATGCAGCAAGGCCCCTACAGCTTTTATCAGCTGGAAGACTGCAAAACCCAAAAAATAATGTACAGTTTGATAGTAGGGGTAGGGCAGAAAGGTAAGTGCTAAAAGCTAAAACATTAAGTAGAGAATTCATAAATGATTGAAATACTGTTGAATGAATTGAAGAAGGTACTTCTTTATAGAAAAAGTGTCCCTACCCAAACCACTGACTGAGTTTGCCTGGTGTTAAGAAAAATAGATCCAGATTACTTTGACAAATTACATTTTGCTTTCTGAAAACCTGTTATACTGATTTTATAATTAGAGAAAAGAAAAATATGTCATTACCATTTGTATTGCATAGGGAAATAATTTGCTTAAAAAGGAAAACTGCTTATTTTACTCTAAGTTTGGCTAAGTGTCAATCATCCACAGAAACTTAATATCTTTCTTTTGCATATGGTGAACAAAACACTGCCTGCACAACAAACAGAGTCCTCCCTTTGTGTGGGTGCATGTGTGTGGAGGTGTCAATCCTGACCTGATTGAGTTATAGGTCAGAATAATTGGAAAAAGCACACTTGAAAACAGAGTTTTCATTTTGGTTTTATTATAGTGAGCAGTACTTTTAATTTTCTTGAAAGGCACCCAAGAATAATTACTTTTGTGAACAAAAATATACAAAACTGTACAGAATAAATAGTTCATAGAAATCTAGCTATACTTTCTTGTAAAATAAAGCTACATTGCCCTCCTTGAGGCAACTTAAACCACTTACCTTTAGAAGTGCCTTTTGATACTAATTTATTGTCTTTATCAGTATTCATCAACAAAAATAAAATAACATTTTTTTACTACTTGTTTTATACCTTTGAATTACTTGCCACAAGAAACAAATTTCTATTATGGTCATTCAGATTACAAAGGATTAATACTATGAAAGAAAGCAAACTTAATTGGTTTTCTAATCATATTTACAGTTGAATCTCAGTAGCATATTTAAAATATCCCAAGAAGAATTAAACTTTGAGCACAAATGACATATCTTAATTCACAGCAGCATTGACATTAAGAATGTCCACACAAAATGTGCAGAGAAACCAAAAACTTTGTTTATGATCCCAGCTGAATTACTAATCATCTTTGTTTTTTAAAACCAGAAAACATGGGAGTGGCATTTATTTAACCCTCCATTAAAAGTTTGGGACCACTCATGGCCCATATAATTACAATCCTTTCATTTTACCTTACTATTACTGTTTGTAAATTTCGAGTTCCAGTTCCTTTGCATTTATTGCAAAAAAACTGTTTGAAAATGCACATTTTTGAAGCATATATTACTTATAAACATTACATCCCTTACATATTATAACTACATATACAGGTATATTTTAAATGATGAAATCCAATTATATTTAATCTACGGGTAACACAATTCAAGAAAATAAGGGTTGTTTGTGTTCAACCCTTTCAAATGTGCAAGAGAAGTTCTATGAAACACTTTAGTAGATGGAGAAATATTACTATAATCCCTGTATGAGTTACATGCAAAGATTTGTTTTACTTGGAACAGACTAAATTGCCTGAACATAATGCCATGGCTTCTCCCAACAATCCCTGAGTTTCTTTTTCTTCTCTTTTTCCTATAGGATTACTGCTGTGCTTAAGTTCTGATGGATGACACACTCATGTAAGGCACTTATCCAAGTTTGGACTTAAGACAGAATCACAGCATTTCTCCAAAAGCCCACAAATTCCCCATCTATGTTTGCTGCTCCAGGACTTCTAAATAGTCAGGTTCAGCATGTAAATTAGCTTTGAGCTCAAAATACTCATTTTTCGTCTGTTCCACTAACACTTTCCTTGGCCGTGAATACATTAACGTTTCCATTAATTTCAATTCTTCATGGGCTCCAGGATAATGCACTTCCATATCAGGTTGGAGCTGAGCAATGTTTTTCCTTAGATACTCTGTGATTCCCAGTTGCTGAAGTTCTCTTTCTTTCTCCAAAATGTTCCTATATAATGAATTGGCATCCTGAAAGGATAAAAATTCTGTTGATTGGTCTGTAGTTTTGTATTTCACATTTGACCCTGTGAGTGGTGAATGATTTTCCCGTTCCAGAAGACTTCGCTGAAGATGTTTTGCATCACTTCCTTCCTTATCATTCCTTTCTTCTTCCTCTTCCAAATGCTTTGGAGCAAAGGATGGACTTCTGTAGACATGAACCATGGGACTCACCATATGCTGCTCATAGAGAGAGGCAGAGGGTCTTTCCGTTGTGTGGTGAGTTGTTTTATGACCATACATACTGTATTGAAGATGCACAGGACTGTTGTCTCTCAGTTGCTCATCTACTTGTTTCTTTTTGTATCTTCTTCTACGGTGAAGAACAAGAACTACTATACCTGCAGCACAGAACACAATGGTTATGAACACAATCAGAAGTCCTAAAATTAGAACAGACAGAGGTACTGCATCAGTCAGAGAGCTTAATAGAGTACCGGCTGTGTTTGTTGTTGCTGTAGGAGTAGTAACAATAATGTAACTACTCTGAGTTGGCAAGGATGGGTTATTAGCTAAACCTGGACAAAGTAATTCACTGTTGAGGGCTTTTAATTCCTTTTTGTCAAGATGACTTGGAGAAGTGCAGAGGATGTCATCTGTCATTGTGTTCTTGCTTAATTTTTGTATCCATTGCTGCAATCCAACGAGGTCACAGGAGCAGTCCCAGGGATTATCCTCAAGGTCAATCTGGGTCAGTAAATCAAGATCATCCAAGATGTTACTTACAGGTAGATGGGTGAACTGGTTTGTTTTAAGATTTACCCTAGTTAGGGGAATTCCTGAAAAAATATGTGGTGGTAATACTTGAAGGAGGTTGTTATTTAAATAGAGTACTTTAAGTTTAGGCATTGAGTTAAAGGTTCCAGGTAATATTTCCTTTACCACATTGTATTCAAGATATAAGTATTCAAGACTATGAAGACCAAGAAACATACCTCTACTTAATTTGGTCAGATGGTTACCATTCAGATAGAGCTTCTGTAGTCTGGTTAGATTCATAAACGATCCTTCTTCAAGAATTTCAATACGATTGTTTCCCAGGTGAAGCATTTCCAAAGTGAAATATTCCACTAAATCAAATTTCATTAATGTATGAATAATATTCCCTGCTAGAATCAGCTTTCTAGGATTTTGTGGAGGAGGCTTTAGATCAGATAAGCTTTCAATATTTCGCTCTTGACAGTGTATTAGAAGTCCTGATGGGGACAGGACTTTGCAATTACAAGGAATAGGACAGTAGAGAACTGGAAGCTGAGTGGATGGCTTTGTAAGATAAGGTACCAACGCTGGTGCTTTGGTAGGTGGTTTTAAAATAGATGTGGTCTTGGTTGACATGCGATTATCACTTATTGAAGATGTTACTGCCAGATGCAGTGATCCAGAAGGATCCTCATGTTCTTCATACACTGGGGGAGCAGGGCAAATAGATTCCTTTTTCAGTCGACTTAGTATGCTTCCTTTGAAAAATGGAGGACTGTTGCACACAACATCACCAATTACAGACTGTGGAGGCATGTTTTCCAACCAGATTTTTAACTGCAGTCACAATTGCAGGCCCATTTATTGTCCTCCAACTGGAGATCCAATATTCGGCCAATGTGTTCTAAAAAACCAACATAAGGCAGTGTTTGCAACTGATTTCCACGAAGATCTAGATGGGTTAAAGGAACAAATCGAAATATATTTGGAGGAAGACTCTCAATAGCATTGTCATTTAAAATTAACACTTTAAGTCTGTTGAGCTTGCTAAAGGCACTTGGTTCAATCACTGTAATAAAATTGTTATCAGCTTGTAAGAATTCCAGGTTTTCCAATCCATGGAAGCTATCCTCTTTAAGAATTTCTAAAGAGTTGTGGTTGATGTGAAGTTGCTTAAGAAGGCCAAGGCCATTGAATGCACCAGTCTCAATATCTGCAATGTTGTTAAATCCAAGGTGTATTGAGATAGCATTGGTAAGCCCAGAAAAGTCATTTGTGTGAAGCATTGTCAAGCCATTATTTAATAAGTTTAGGTGGAAAGGTCGTGATGGTGGCACACTTATTTGGGATAATTTCTTGATACCTTTTTCTTCACAGTTTATTAACATTGTGCCATCTTTTTCCTCACAATTACAAAGAGTATCACAAGATCCTCTGAGTGAGGGCAATGGAGACTGGGATTGTAAAGTTATAGAGGCAAGAAGAGATGAATATAAGAGATGAATCCACAGCTCCATGTTGTCACGTGATGGAATCTGACTGTAAAATAAAACACAAGAGCAGGGACATGAGTCTGACATTTTTGAATGACAGGTTTTCCATTAAGCAAATTACTGATTACCACAAAAGTATGAGTAGGTTGCTGTATCTACAATTTATTTTAATACTGTTTCTATTACTCAGGCATGCTCTGGGTTAAATATAAAATTTAGGACAAGGAGAATTTAAGACATTATATTGGCATTTATGTTCACATCTGCCAAAATTCTGCACTTTCAGAGGTAATAAAGGTGCTTGCTGGCTAAATGGACATGTGGATACTTCAATATGATACAAAATTGTCTGTTAAAAACAACTTTGATTGTTCTTTTTAACTCACAGAAATAGACGTTTTAATGCTGAAGGATTATAATATGCATTTATTGGCCAGAGCATAGAGAGCTGTACAGAATATCTAAATGTGTTTTTGTGAATGTTCATGTTTGCACACAGCATGCATTTCCTTATACTTGTATAGATGCAGCTACATTTAAACCTGTTTTGACTTGGCCCAGTAAACTTAAAATTAATTTAATTTAAAAACCTTGAGCAAAATGTAGTCTTAATTATATAAGAAAATCCAGCATCATAAACATCTGTACTTTGAAATTCTTGTTGGGCATTTTTATTAAAGCATTATTGTAATGGACATATAGACTTAAGAGTACCTAGTCAAGTTTTACTACAGTCACACTTTATTTTGAATTTCTAGATACATGAAAATTCCTGCTACTTTTAAATTCTATTATGAATAAGGTAAAAAAATTAAAAACCAAAGAAAAAAATTGTATCTTTAGCGTGAATTTCAAAATACTGTAAAAAAATAAACAATGCCTCATGTAAACTTCCAGCAAAAGACAACCTAATGGGATCTTGAGAAAGTTTTAGGGCAGTGAATGTCATCACATAATTAAGCAATGATAACCTTTATTAAAGGCATAAAGTCTCATACAATAAGCTTTGAAACAAACTACTACAAAATAGAAGGACTTTAGGATATTTATAATTTGGTTAAAATGACAGTTCAATATAACAACATCACATATTCTAACTCTTTAAAAATTTTACATATGCATTTGAACAGCAATTCTTAATACAATTCTAACCTAGAAATCAAAGTAATGACAAGGTAAGCATATAAAACCCTAATGGTATCTAATTCTATTCATTCATTTATATACTTTGTCTTAAACATATAAATCATATTGAAATATAAACACCACTTCTTATGATTATTGAGATTTTCAAAATGATAAATTTTTTTTTGAGGATGAAATGTGAACAGTAACTTTGAATTTAATTAAAAGTTGAAATCAGATAAGATATCCCAGACCCGATCCGTAATGTTGAAAGTAAACCTTCATTTCCTGAAAATACATTGTTTTATTGAAAACATGTAAAGTCTGAAGTTTCTAAAAGGTAAAAGCCAACCAAAGGACAAAACACTCTACAGTCTTTCTATGCAAAAGAAAAGTTAGTAGACTTTATATTTCCATTGGGAAATAGTTTAATTTTAAACTGTTCTGAGTGCTGTGCTTAGAATCACAGAGCTCCTAGTTGGCGTCTTCAACTTGTGGATTGGCTTTCAAAAACAATCTACGTACTTGTCCATAAATTACCAACAAAGAATATGATTCATCCATCAATTACAGTATCTTGAGAAAATAGTAAATTAACTTCAGATGATAACATCTCATATTTTTAAAAAATTTATATGCATTTTATGCTCATATGTGCTAGGGAGCAGTTTCCAATGTTTTCAGAAATCCAGATTTGAAAAATGGTTATGTATGTACTACATTGTATACTGTTATTATACCTTAGATACAATGTTAAAGAGGTCAAGACTCCCAGTTTACATATGTTCAGAAAGCACATAATTTCAAGTCAGAAAATAATACAAGTAGCATACCAAATACAAAGAATAATTCAATATTCTGCTTATATTTGAAATTCAAAAATAGCATATGATCTTTCCCTTAGGAAGTATAAATATTTAGTTTCTAATAACAAACTGCTTGTTTTAAAAGAAAGAATGGCATATTATATTTGTTCTCTTTGCAGCCAGCTGTTGGACTAAATGTCTTTTGCTCAGAGTAAATAGGCATCTGGTAAAGCATTACTTTGGCCAGAGAGCAAAAATGAAACTGAATTCCCTCTAAGGCAAAGCTATTTTTTTAAAGAGATGAACATATAAATTCAATCACCTTATGATAATGCAAACATCAGTATAAGAGAAGCCTAGAAATATTCCTCTTACCTGTAAAGCAGAGTCTCCTCTAGACGCTATCTGTTATGCACAGCTGGAAGAGGTGTTCAAAGTGATTCAGTTTCTTTATTTAAAAAGATAACACAGATCACCATGTACTTTCTCCTCAAATATCACTTTTTGGCAAGTCCCATAGCTTCAGAAAGTTAAACCTCTAGTCAAAGACAAAATGCTGGGCATTTCACTGAAAATATTGCAAGCAGAGTGCTTACTAGAGCATCCTGAAGCAGTTGTCCTTTTTCCTTTTCTCCCCCAATTAAAATTCACAGCATACTTCACAGCTATGCTGACTTTTTTGCATATAGTTAACCATTTGCAAGCTGCTGAATGCAGTAAATAAACAAGATGTTTAACAGAGCTGGGACTGATCACTCTTGCTTTCTTAGGTTGTAGATCCAAGCTGCAGCAGTGTTCTCCTTCCTCCCTTTCTAGTCTTTCTTGTTAGCTCAGTTTGTTATTAGTCAGACTGCCAAGGGCTGGGAGGTAGGCGTAAATAAAGAGACTTCTTGGCTTTTGACTCAGCCTTTAAGCCCTTCCCCATCAGAGAGTTTTAATCTGCCAGTGTCACATAACACAAGAGACAGCTCCACCTTGGGACTGCTCAACTCCTCCTCTTTCTGCAAATGGTCTTTCCACTCCTTTTATACCTAATATTAGAGCAAGGAAATTTTGATGAAGGTGATACACGTCATTTTAAATGATTCTAATATATTTTGTTGATAGAAAGCTAAAGAATTTATTTTGTTGAACTCTCATCTAACGCAGTGCTGTGCTCCACAGTGCACATACATGTGCAGCAAAAGGACAAGCTGCCATAGAATACTTACTTCCTGTTTTTCTTTCTGTTGTTTAAAGTTGAAAATTGTGCACTAATCGTTGTAAAATGTTAGCAAGGATTGCTTGTACAGCACATGAATTATTGTATTCACCATATAAACACACTTAAAGTTTTATGGGTGACTGTGAGAATTAAATTCACTATTTCTTTCACTAGAGCTAATGTTTTTGACAATGAAACTGCATGTGAGGTGCTCATTTACTTATTTTAAGATATTTATTTAGGATGGAATTACGATTACTTAAACTTAAAAAATCTTGACAAAATGATTTCCATGGATCTAGCACTGCATATCATTCATAATATGAAATTATATCTCACAGGCATTATTGAAACAAGTTAGAGAAGTATGTAGAGTTTACAATGTTCTGATTTTTATGGTACCACCTCAGAATTTATTTTTAACTTGGTTGTATTTCAAGTTACTTGTTTCTTCAACTGTTTAAAATTTCTGAATCATCCTGATGAAATTTAACTGTCAGATTCCTTAATTTCTTCAAATGCTTGTTTTTATGCTCATTCCTCCTTATCTATATTCCAAATACCTGCATATTTTGATGTCCGAAGTGAATATATTAGAAATTGTCACTTACTTATTTGGAAACATTCAAATTAGTTCTCCACTTGCCTGTAGATTCCTGAGACTATCACTTTAGGTCTCATTTCAAGAAATGCTATTTTAAAAGAAGGACGTGGGTGTACACCAAATCATCAATATTGAAGAATGTCAAATTCAATACTTAAATGATTATCTATTGGTATTCACTAAAATCTATATAGTTTTCATAGTCTTAGAGTAGAATTTAGGATCATTCTTTAGCATTCTCACTTCTTTTATATTATGTTCTCCATTGAGTTCCTCATTTGTTTTAATGGCATTGGATGCTTTGAGGTAGAATAAAGACAAAAGTGATGAGGAGAGAGAATAGAGGTAAAGAAAAAGATAGTAAACAGAAGCACTTAAATTATAAATGAAGAATTATTCTTTGGCACAATTTGGGACTAGTTCATAGCCAAGTTAAATTAACATAAACAAGCCTAATGATTTAGATAGGCAATTGCACACTAGAATACTTATCAATAGGAATACAAGGAACTAAAGGAATTTCCTGTCTGACCCTTTACACATGAACTTCCCAAGTATTTTAGAGATTTTGGTGGCAAGATAATATTTTGTAAGTATAGTTTGTCGAGGAAAAGTTACTCAAACCTGCATATGAACAAATGGAAGTAAATTCTCTGTAGATTGGTACATATCTGTAATTTCAATACATTTTGAGTATTAATCTTTTTTTAATAAAATATAAAAGAAATTCAAAGTAATTTATCTTCATTCCTTACATCTATGTTATTTTTGAATGTCTACATATTGGTTAATTACATAAGAGTATTGGAAAGAAAAGTGGAAAAATAAGACTCTTTTGGGATCCAGGAGCCAGTGGCTCATGCCTATAATCCTAGCTACCCAGCAGGCAGAGATCATGAGGATGGCGGTTCCAATCCCAGCCAAAGAGTTCCTAAGAGCCTGTCTTAAAAAAACCCAGAATAAAAAAGGGCTGGTGGTGTGGTTCAAGGTGAAGGTCCTAAATTCAAACTACAGTAGTGCAACAAAACAAAACAAAAAAACCAGCTCTTTTTGATGGAAGTGTACCTCAGTGGCATAGAGCACTTGCCTAGCATGAGTGAAGCCCTGGGTTTGATTCCATGCACCATACACACACAAAATGAACTTTAAACTTTTTCACCTTTTCTGTAAGCTTTGAGCAGAAACAGAAAGGGAGACAAGGAAGAATTACTCTTGACAGAACAATTTGTAACTTTTAGCACAATTCAAAATGGTAATGTTGATAATTACTAAGCTTATCTCAAGC